GAGGGAGAAAATGGAAAATGTAGGGCTGTGTGCCACTCTAATGGATATCCTTGTGGCTGGGAGAAAATGGGACTCAATAATGTGTCCTTAATGTCTGCCAGCGCTGTTTCAGGGAACGTATCAGAAGAAATGTCCCCTGCCATTTCTGAAAGCAATCACTTAATGGGACGGGCAAATCTCAACAACATGGATGCACTGATCTATTTCTGGGCTTGACAGATGGAATGAATCCGTGGCTCCTGGAAGACACAAACGAAAAGGTAGAGGGTGAAGAAAGACCAGGCTGCAAACAAGGGAAGATAAAAACAAGCCTTTCATGATTCAGTCAGCCCCGCAGAATGCCTGTGTGTGGCTTAAGTGCAGACACTGACAGGAATTTCAATTATTTAATTAGGGAGGGAAAATGAAAAGACTTAAGTGTTGTGATTTTCTGAAGTCTTTCATAGATCAATCTAATGTGCGCTCACATTGGAAATCAACCAAGATGGAAGAGGGGCAAGTGAAGTAGCGTCTTCTAAATCACGCAATTAAAATGGCAAATTAGTTTCTTGATATATTCATTTAAGTGGTTAAGTGGAAATGTTTCTCTCTCCGTTCACGCAGCTGTCTCATGGGGGGGGGGGGGGGGGTGTGGAGAGGCAGCAGCATCTACATGCTCTTATGATTAGAGCTGCCATTCGTTTGCTGAGAAAACGCTGAAAGCACTTGCTGCACAAATTAGCCATTTGAAGGCTTGAAAATTCAATTCCGAGGAGTTGATTTAAGTATTTAGGCAAAGCAGGGCTGGAACGTAAAGTTTGAGAAGCATTTTCCCTGCTAATGTCGATAACTTTCAGAGGCCATTATAGGTTTTTAAGGCGTTGTACCTTGTGAACAGCACGGCTGGAAAATACTACAAACACACATACACACTTAAGGCGTATTCCCACCACCTTCACACCTCCATTCTCACGTGGTCTATAGGCAGTTTTCCTGTTGAACAGCCTTGTTGTTGTTATAATTCGGACATTTGTCCATAATGAAAGATCATCTGATGCTCAGCCACTTGTTCCATTAGCACCCGGATGGATCGAAGCTTCTGATGGACAGGAGAGCATCTGTTAGTGGGTTATATTTGGCAGGGTGCTTACATGAACAGAAAAGGAGTATGGCACATAACTGAAGCAAATGGAGGATCCTGAAGGATATAGACAAAGAAAAAAAAAGAAAAAATAGAAAGATATGTGTTTTCACATGCGACCATTAATGTCCGGGCATTTGGATTTCCTCAGCTGTGAATTTGACCAGTAGTGATAATAATTATACCTTTTACTTATAGCCCTTTTTAAGGTACTCATTGAGATATTATACTCAAACAAAAACATGTAATAAAAGATACCTGTTGTCATTAACGCAGTACTGTGTTGCCATGAATCATAGGTTTCTTTTTTTAACATGTCATAATTCTAAATGTATGCAATTGGTAGAAAAGAAATCACTAAGAACCCAAAATCCTGTGATTTGTATAAAACAAGAGGCCAGCCAGTGTTGGAAGCAGACTCTTCATGAACATCTTTTTATATTCTGAAACTCCACTTCCTGGTAAAACACCACACTTTCCACTGAACTAATGGAATGGCAGTTATTTAGATTTGTAGAATAACCCTTTTCTATAAAACCTACAACATGCTGTCATTTGTCTCCTTTAGTCTGCCACAATATTTATCTTGCATATATTGCTCCGCACATAAACCCTCATTCCCATCCCCCTTTTTTCCTGTGAGATTTCCCTTCATTTGTCCTTGTTCCAATGAATTTGTGGAAGTTGTATTAAATATTCTATTGTAGTGTATTGTGTTTAAGTATTATCAGAAAATTGTGCTGAAAACACAAGAGGTAAACTACTCTAATGCAAAATGACTCCAATGTGTTAAATATAACAAATGAATGGTATATTATTATTATTATTATTATTATTATTCATAAAAGGCTATGTATATTTGGTGACCTCACATTAATCCCACCCTAGCTTTGCTTGGTGTAGGTTGACATAAAAACATAAAGAACTCATTTATAAATGCTCCGTATGTGTCAGATCAGACCCTAGCTGTTTGTGGTGGAATACAAATACAATATTAGTGGAATTAAATGAAAATATCCAAATAAAGTAGCCTACCTCAAAAGTCCAGTTAATTTCTACCAGAGCTTAGGTGAGACATACATTATCATTATTTGTTCAGATGCTAACCAGCACAGCCCACAAGTCATTAGAATGTCCACAGCCAGTGTAGCCTGTCATCGAGTCATTATAAGCTATGAGGTGGAAGAGTGAGTGGTCCATGGAGCCGCAGCAGGCCCATGGGCTGCTGGACTCAGATGGAAGCTCAGGGACACAACAATGCAGCCACGCAGACACACACTCATTGTAATTACTCGTGTCACATTACCTTCCCAAGTGCCGCATGAGCTCCTTACCTACTGATGATACCACATAAATGTAGACTTTTCATAACAAAATTAATCTCTGAAAAGCGAGATGGATTCAAGAAAACATGGATTTGCTCTTCTGTCACAGAGGCATATTGTCCACTTTGATGGTGCATGGGAGGATATCAAATGCCCTCCTGGCTGCCACTCTCCAGATGGAAGAAAATAGCCTGTGGTCTATAAAAATGAAGTTAGATGTAAGTACAGCACTCAAATCTCGGGGAGAAAAAATGCTTTTTCTGGGGCATTTTGTTGTTGTCAATTGGTCTGAGCAACTTGTTGTAATGCAGGTAATGGAGCTACTCTACTCCTTTCATCTTTGGGTCTGTGTGTGTGTGTGTGTGTGTGTGTGTGTGTGTGTGTGTGTGTGTGTGTGTGTGTGTGTGTGTGTGTGTGTGTGTGTGTGTGTGTGTGTGTGTGTGTGTGTGTGTGTGTGTGTGTGTGTGTGTGTGTGTGTGTGTGTGTGTGTGTGTGTGTGTGTGTGTGTGTGTGTGTGTGCGTGCGTGCGTGCGTGCGTGCGTGCGTGCGTGCGTGCGTGCGTGCGTGTGCGTGCGTGTGCGTGTGTGTGTGTGTGTGTGTGTGTGTGTGTGTGCGCACACAGTGTAGGATGGTGGTCAGAATGGGAGGAACTGGTGTGAGCTGCTTCTCCAAACACCTGCTGGCTCCATGTACCTTTGGTGATACCAGTATTAACATGGAATTGAATACATTTAAATACATATTTCAGCTTTAAAAGGTTTTGTTACACATGAAGGAACATTTCTATTTCATGTTATAATTGAAAAAGTCAGTGTCCTCTTTAACAACATGTCCACATTCTTAACAGGTGGATAAAGAAAACGTAGGGGTTGTAAAATGAAGCTTTACTGAAATACAGCTAAATGCTTTCCACTGACTTACAAACAGACATCAAACGTGTCTCTAAATGTCTCAAAGAATGCAACTTCCGGTGACCAAACACTGTGCCTCATGTACACAGAACTGTACACTGTCAGGTGTGCTTTCTTGTTCTTTATCGGAAAGGAGGAGGGACTGAAGCAGCACAGCTGTTCCATGAGAACCCTGTCAGTTCTGTAGAACTGCATTTATTGAAGATCCACACAGTTGTTGTAATAAATTGCATCTTAAACCTAGTGACAACTAAATGGAATGAACAATGAGGTGAATTGTTAGGAAATTTGAAATACAAAAAGTATCATAGGGTTATTCATGTCCGATATGTTTAATTATTCCAGAGTTTGAAATGTTTGAGTGTGCCCCATTGGTGACTCACTGCAGTCAGTGAAGCTTCTTACGTATTGAAGGATTCATCATGGCATCATTTCATTGCAAACCTTTATTTTCACAATATGTGTCTTACTTTCCATAAAATACCAATTTTTGTTTCAACTTTGTTGGACACATGAGAGATGCGTTTCATTTATGATCTATACTAGGAGACATAGAGAGCATTATCAGCTGTGAGAAGGTGGCGAAGATGATCTGTTCTAGTGTTAGACTCAACGACCATATAAGCATTCATGTAACATGAAGAAAACACATTTGCATTGGAAGCAGAAATCCATATCTAGAGCATTGTTTTTAGAATGTATCAACCTATTGATCAGTAAGAAAATGTGTGGTATTGTCAGCATATGAAATAAACAGGGCTTATTTGAATACCCAATGCAAATAGTGACTGTTGACCTTACACACACATCACCTACAATTATTTGTATGATGGTTGTGTTGGAAAACAGTTGCCTATTTATTCACAAACATGATGTTTGAGGTAACCTGATGAATAAACGTCCTACATTAACTGTTTCCAGCTCCAAGGGAAGTATTGGGCAGCTTCTCCACTCCCTCATGTGCACCAGAGCTAGTCTCTTGCTTCCAACGAGGCCGGCCCGACAGTGTGCAAAGGGTTTGTGGGTCTTTTTAGACTAACATAACAAAGTAGCGCTGAGCTGAACTGCAGTCATTTCACAATAGTCATCATATTTGTGTTCAATGGAACCACATGATTTTGGTTTCAATTGGTGCCAATCATGACGTTTACCGTTAAACTATTTAAAATCATTTTCACTCTATATTGTCACAAGAGTGTATGAACGGTTGCTCTTTTTACACATGAATTAAGCCCTAATTAAGGCAAATGCAGCAAGCAGGACAATAATCCTAAACCAAACAAACAGTTAGGCAAGCAGCGTTTGAGTGGCTTACATTTTCAACTGTGAGTATTTTATATTTACTGTTAAGTCCTAAATGTGCTCAAATAGACTTTAAAAACAACAACTTGTATCTAAATGTATTCAATGCCGAACATGTGATGCCTGGCTGCCCTCCAGTAAAGCCAGTTCAGCCTCCACTTTCAATAAAAGCATGAAGTCATCAGTATTGCTTCAGCATGCCAAGCTTTGAACATTTCTGTTTTTTCAGCAGATTCCCAAACCACAAAACTGGTGTGTGCTGATTGGCCAGAACTGGGCCCGGGCCTTTTGTCTCAGCGCTGTGTTTGCTGTATCCCCAGTTTCTCTTTTCACCCGTCTAACGCTTGTGCTACTAGCCCGCTGGAATCTGCCAGTCTTGGATCTTATTGTGTTTTGTCAGGTAACCCTGTCTTCCTTAACATCTTCTTAAAAGATTTTGCTTAAGGTAAGGTCATACTGAATTGTGTCCAATAATTGTTGGTGTTCACTTGTGTTTTTATGTGTTTTTTATTTATTTGTGGTATTGGGGACACAGCTGCAGTTCCAAGAACTGCTGAATCAGAAAATATAGACAGTTGTGTCTTGCGCCTTTTAGGTAAAAATGTACCGATTTGTATCTCTTATGCGTCCATGTAACTTCAGTGCAGTGAATAGAGTAACGCCATTAAAACACAGTCTCGTCTAGAGGCTAGCAATAATGTAAACTATAGATGGAACACTGCAAACATTAGTTGTATTTTTGTTGTTTACACATCACAATGTAGTAAGAGTTGCAGAATTAGTGAAAAAGGTTGAGTGATGCAATCAAAAGGAAACATCGGGCCTCGAGGTCAGTGCAGACGCAGCCAACGCCTCTCTCTCAGTACAGACTATGATGTTGGTGGGGGGGGGGGGTTCCATGGCATTGTAGAATATTAAACCCAGCTGGTTGACAACATATTGCCGAAAATAAATAATTGCAATGTTAAATATGCCCAGAAAAATGGGCATCCTGAGATATCGTTTGCTTTACAATATGGGAATGAAATGGATTTAGTAAGTGCTCTGGTTTAGACTGAGGCAGCTGAGAGGGAAATGTGATCCTGCAGAAATACAGAGCTCTTCAATGAATACACAGAGCTCTTCAACGAGCATCCCGTTCAGGTTTTCAGACATAACAAGATATCTATCTATCATCCTTTCCCCCTAAAAGAAATCCACAACTCTCCATGCGTAGAGGGGATGGCTGCAGGATATTGCATTCAGATGGAACAATGAGCAATAGATGTATCAAGTATCAAAGCATCTGTGTGTGTGTGTGTGTGTGTGTGTGTGTGGTGTGTGTGTGTGTGTGTGTGTGTGTGTGTGTGTGTGTGTGTGTGTGTGTGTGTGTGTGTGTGTGTGTGTGTGTGTGTGTGTGTGTGTGTGTGTGTGTGTGTGTGTGTGTGTGTGTGTGTGTGTGTGTGTGTGTGTGTGTGTGTGTGTGTGTGTGTGTGTGTGTGTGTGTGTGTGTGTGTAAGCTCATCTTCGGGGACTGATGTCCTAGAGAACAAAGTACACACAGGCGACCCCGCAGCTCAATCCATCGGAAATAATATGTTCATTACAACACAATTACTGACACTTAGACCCTCTCTCGCTGAAGTGTGTGTGTGTGTGTGTGTGTGTGTGTGTGTGTGTGTGTGTGTGTGTGTGTGTGTGTGTGTGTGTGTGTGTGTGTGTGTGTGTGTGTGTGTGTGTGTGTGTGTGTGTGTGTGTGTGTGTGTGTGTGTGTATGGGTGTGTGTGTGTGTGTGTGTGTGTGTGTGTGTGTGTGTGTGTGTGTGTGTGTGTGTGTGTGTGTGTGTTGTGTGTGTGTGTGTGTGTGTGTCTGCAGGTGCAGGTGCAGGATGTACAGCTTTATGGGTGGAGGTTTGTTCTGTGCAGGCGTGGGGAACATCCTCCTGATCGTTTCCACAGCAACCGATTACTGGATGCAGTATCGGCAGTCCAACAACTACATGCACCAGGGCCTGTGGCGGTACTGCATGCCGGGGAAATGTTTCCCCCACAACGACAGCATCGGTGAGTGTTCCTGCTCCACTGCTGCAGAAGACTGCTCCACACACGCTCTCTAAAGCTGCCGCCATGGCCTGGCGGAGGGAAAGCTCACTTTCACTTGACATGGTGGTCGGCTAACATTTGCCATTACAGGGTGAATTATACAGATGATACTACTTGTGTTTAACAAGAAAAACATTTCTCTGATACTTTGATTTGATCAAATGTGGTTCTAGATATAAGTTATACTTTTGTGTTAGAGTTTCATCTCTTGTGTTTTGGTTGACATATTTAGGAATTCCAACTGATGGATGATGAAATTAGAAATGTGGTCTGTTATATTTCTTGAGGGTGTTTGCTGCTCTTCATCATGTTGGCTTGATGGGGTCACAGCTGAGATCACTTGCACTAACCCCACCAGTGACTTCTATTGACCCTGTCCACAGCCCACCTAGACGCTACCCGTGCCCTCATGATCCTCTCTCTGTTGGCCTGTTTCATTGGCATCATCATTGGCATCATGGCCTTCATCCACTACTCCTCCTTCGACAGGTTTGACAAGACCTTTGCTGCAGGCATATTGTTTTTCATCTCATGTAAGTTCAACGCTATTGATTTGTTCTTTGTTTGTTGGCTTTGAGCTGTCATTTGTTTTGACTTTAACTGAAGCATAATAAGCATAATATGTATGTTTTGAACTGAAACTTAGCAGCAGTATGGTTTCCTCTCTATTCAGTCTCTCTGAAACTCTTTTTCTCTTTTTCTCTGCACAGGCCTTTTAGTGTTTCTAGCAATGTCAGTGTACACTGGTGTGACTATGAACTACTACGGGAAGCGCTACGGAAACTGGAGGTTCTCCTGGTCATATATTATAGGCTGGGTGTCCGTGGTGCTCACCTTTTTTTCAGGTAAATATGCAGCCCAAAAAACCTGTATCTGGATAGAATCTGCATTCGGTTTTCAAAGCAGTTCCGTCAAGTTCCTTCATTTCCAACGGTTCCATTGATGGTGTGTTCACTTTCAATTGAACAACATTAAGCTGTGATCCTTTACTAATAAAGTGACTTCTTTTAAAGCTATACACTTGAGGAAGTTGCTGTCTAAGCATGGCTGCACTCAGAGTTCAGAAGCATTGCCTGGAGAAGCAGACCAGGCAGGCAACACACTCAAAATACTTTATAGATGTTTGATTCCTTTTACATTATATCATGTAGGAATTTGTCAAAGCTTCAATAAAGCAGATTATTTACTCCCACATATTGGCGTCAACTACTACCTGCATTTCAGCGAATAATACTCGTCATTATTCATGTAGTGTTTGTAATAAAGACAACACCTATAGAGACTCTGTAACATTACACAAAGAGTCTCTGAGCTAAACACCTGAAGCTAACGTGGACCTGCAGCTGAAGCTGTGATTTACATGCTGTAGTGAATGCTGCTCTCTGAATCCCCCAGCATGCACTACTGCTGTTGAGCAGGCTTTTCTATTTACTCAATGTGAAGAGATCATTATGAGCAGCATCCACATGAGGAAAATACTATATGTTCATCTGTTTGGTTAAGACTGAAAATATGATCAGAGTATATATATCAATTAGGGCTGTCAGTCGATTAAAATAGTTAATCGCGATTAATCGCAAATTAATCGCACATTTTTATCTGTTCTAAATGTACCTTAGAGGAATATTTTTCAAGTTTTTAATACTCTTATCAACATATGAGTGGACAAATATGCTTTATGCAAATGTTTATTATCATTTGAACAATGACAAATATCCTCATGAATATTAAACACAACAACCTCTGAACATTACAAATATTCGCCTCAATTCAACCTGGAACCTCTCTCATACAATAGTGTGTGTGTGTGTGTGTGTGTGTGTGTGTGTGTGTGTGTGTGTGTGTGGTGTGTGTGTGTGTGTGTGTGTGTGTGTGTGTGTGTGTGTGTGTGTGTGTGTGTGTGTGTGTGTGTGTGTGTGTGTGTGTGTGTGTGTGTGTGTGTGTGTGTGTGTGTGTGTGTGTGTGTGTGTGTGTGTGTGTGTGTGTGTGTGTGTGTGTGTGTGTGTGTGTGTGTGGTGTGTGTGGTGTGGTTCGTTGGAGCTATGTGCAACTCAAGGCATATGCTCGAACGGGAGCTGCCTGGACGCTGCAATCATGTCTGACTTTTCGTACAATGTACCACTGTCTGGCTTCCTGCATAAAGTCAAGTGCTCGGCGCAGTTGTGGCGAAATGTCGCTCCTCTGTTTTCATTTAAACAGCTCCTTATATCCGTTAGCGCAGCTAGCTAGCACCAGATGCTAACAACAACAATGCACGTAAGGTCTCTCTCTCGCTCGCTCGGGCCACACATACACACACCCTCCCGGTCCTCCCAACAGCCAGTCGGTGCCTGCCGGTGAGCGTGGAAGTGTGGTCTGCCACAAGCGGGCGGCAGGAGCGGGGCTGTCAGCATCAGCTTGTAGATGGTATTTTAAACTCGATGCGCTCTGAAACTACGGGGCGGCCGAGGACAAAAATACACATGCGTTAATCGCGTTAAAATAATTAGTGGCGTTAATTTTTTTTGCGTTAACGCGTTATTAATGCGTTAACTTGACAGCCCTAATATCAATATATCACGGTATATAATAACTAACCACTATGCACAAAACATTAAGACTATGGTTTACAATTAATATCAAAATGTTATTCATATCATTTGCATGCACTAAAGATGTCAAATAAAGAGCCCACGGATAATGTATCAGGACCTTTCGTATATATGTTGACATTAACGCTGATCCAGACACAAAATAGAAAGACCTCATTTGAATTCCCTTTTCTCAGATTGTCCCTGAACATGGCCTGAAACAGACTTCCCCACACTTTGCTGCTTCTGCTCATTAAATAAAGGGATACAATTCCCACACATTTGAGCATAGTGTATTTTGTCAATAAAAACGTAATACAATTAAAATAAGCCACTGCATGGATAACAAAGACCTGCCCTCTCTTTCTTTTCAGGTATATTCTATTTGTGTGCCTACCGGATGCATGAATGCCCCAGGAGCTCCAACTCGCATTAGGAAACGTCTTATTCCATCATCAGAAATGAGCCAGGCTGTGTGTGGACTCTCGCCATCAACACGGTGCAGAGCTCACCTCTGGACCGTGAAGGATCAAAGTTGAACCAGTTCAATAAAAAGATTTAGGAGAATACGACTCTTTATTTTCATCCACAGGCGCTGTGCATCTTCAGTTCACTCTCTTTATAATGTTCTTGATTTGTTTAAGTGTGCTTGGTTGCAGATGAATTTGTATTGTTTTTAAATGTATCTGAGAGCATTTTTTGGAGGCTTGGAAGCTGGAAATATGTGACTGAGAGTCCGAGCCTTTAGCGTTATAATAACGGGTGTCACCACAGAGAGGTTATTATATATTATAATAGAAAAGTCTGCATTCAAAAGTACAACAAATATCATTTTTCCAAAACCCTTGGACCAATGGAGTCACAGAAAGCGAAAGTCACATGCGTGCGTGTCTATAAAAACTGTACTCATGTATAATTACAAAGAGCATGCTGCATTACTCTGAACAAAATATTACAATAGACATGAATACATTTTAGAGCAACGTAAACAAACATATAAATATAAAATACCTAAAAGCATGATGTCGTTGCCAGAAAGTCGTTGTTTTATGTCTTAAACTATTTATATAAATAGCTATATGAATAAAAAAGGACCAGAGGACATTGATGTAGGCTATGTCAAATGGATTTGTATTATTTTTGATGAAAGCCCCAAATATGTATTCGGGTGAAGTAACCTCTTGCTCCGTCTCTCACCGTCACACTGTCAGCTCAGTAAACCCCCTCTCATCCACACGTGTCACTTAAAGCAGTGACGCACTGGCCGGCTCAACATTTTACCTAATGAAATGGCCACAGAAAGCCGCTTACTTGCGCCTCAAGAACGGCTTCTTAAGACGATTTCATCACCATTTGTTCCATTTACTTTCTAATTTCCCCCTAAAAGCAACTTGTTATCCTGCGCTCCATAAAGGGATTGACGCACAGCCAGGTGCGCGCGTTACCTCCATCTGCTGCGGCCTCCTTTCACCTTGCATACATTTTTTTTTTTAAATGACACAATATGTATTTTGTAGAGGAAGGATGTCTCATAACTTTTTGAAAATGATGCGCATTTTGCATCAGCGTTATTTGCCTTTATCCCAAAAGGTGTTTTATTACAACCAGTCAACTATGCCAATTTACATACTGAGCACACGAGTCAATTTAACACAAACCTATGCAAACTAATGCCGCAGAGCACTTTTCCACAGCAACTGATTCCCAATAATTAATTTGTTCTCCCTCCATCTGATCAAATGGAAATCCTGTCCTCTGGCCCAAGGATTACAACTTCCGCTCTAACATCTCCCTTAATTGCCTAATAGCATTGCAGCGTGAATTCTGCCTACATTAAGACACTTTCACATTAAGCGGCCTGATTGGAAATGTGATGACAACACCATATCAACAAATTATAGCGCAGCTTTCTTTTGCAAATGGGCACAGGAGCGGCACTTGTACTCTCCCAGTTTTTAATACCGACAATTACAGTCAATTTGGGCGGAATTACTAGGCAGCCCTGAATCAGAACAATCCTCATGTGACACAGGCGACATGACTTCATTCAAAAACTAACATGAAGGAAACATGAAGTAGTTACCCGAGTGAATTTACCAGACAATTAAAAAACACTCTGTGGTCACATGTTGAAACTTCTATATAAATCATTTTAAAGTTTGGTGTCGAGGTCCCTCGTGTATTATTATAGAAAGATATGAATTATAAATTACATTAAATGGTTCAGCTCTCATCTTATAGCGATATTAAATAAATATCCCACCGATAAAAACACAATTTTCGATTCGGTGAATTACACACAAATAGCCTAGCACGCACATAACCAGACCCGTCGGAGCAACAACAATAACACAAAAGCTGCATGTTCCTTCGGCAGAATGAAGCTTTTCATCTTTTACATCAGCAGGCTATGGGAATATATTCAAATGTTTAAACATGGAGTATAACACTGTGACATATTTAAAACAGAGCAGAACTGTCTTGAAATGGAAAATAGATGTTCCTTCCAAAAAAGTAAAACAGCGACAATACCAATAAAGTGTTTCAGCACCACGGTGAGCAACCGACCTGATTCATAGAGCCTGAACAAGTCTTAGCCAATCAGAAGGAGACACAGGCCCCTCACATCTCCCCTCCGCCCATCCAGAGCTCTTATTGGCTGGTGCGTAAATCAATTTCCCCAATCCGCTATCTGTCTGAATAAATGCCTGCTGGAAATCTGCCCTCCCACTGATATCTGTGTGAGTTCAGTGATAACAGGAGCTGAAGCTGGAAGCAGAGCAGATGTTGATGCCGCTTCAGAGGCTTCTTTAATAACCACCAGCACCATGAGCATGAACTACCTGTCCGCGGTGCCCGCGCACAGGTCCACGTCGTTTTTCATTGAGGACATCCTGCTGCACAAACCCAAGCCGCTGAGAGAGGTCATCCCCTCGCCCTTCTGCAGCTCCCTGGCCTCCCGGATGCCCATCCTGGATTATGGCTACCCCCTGATGCCAACCCCAATACTGGCACCACATCCGCACCACCACCTCCACAAGCCGGAGCACCACCAGTACTTCTTCACTTCCGGTAAGCATGCACGGCCGTGAGAGGCCCGACAGACAGAAGCCTCCTGTCAGACAGGCCTGCCTGGACTAAAGAAGCTCCTTCCTATATTTATAAACTCCTTATCTGCTCATGTTATCAATGAGAGTCATGAATATAGAGATTGATATTCAATACTGAGAGGGATCTAACACCACGGTTGAATGTATTATAATGGTTGGCTGGTGGAGCATCTGAAGATGTATTCAGATTTGTCATTATTATTTCTTCAAGGATCGTTGTTATGTTGTTTTTTTCTGCAGTAAAATGTGTAAAATTGATCTCTTCTGATATGTGTATAATGTTTGCTTCTGATTAAACAAACTAAGTTATGATTTTACATTCACTGAAAGCTATCGATAAGCCATTATGAAACTAGAATTAACCCAAAGCTAATTCATTACACACAGTGAACTTAGTTTCTCAGACTATATCTTGAGACCTCTAACCCTGGTCCTGTCCTGCAGGGATGCAGATGCCGGCCCTGTTCCAGCACCACGCGGAGCTACCGGGGAAACACTGCCGGCGCCGGAAGGCCCGCACCGTGTTCTCCGACTCCCAGCTGTCCGGCCTGGAGAAGAGGTTCGAGATCCAGAGGTACCTGTCCACCCCGGAGAGAGTGGAGCTGGCCACTGCGCTCAGCCTGTCCGAGACACAGGTACACACACACACACACACACACACACACACACACACACACACACACACACACACACACACACACACACACACGCACACGCACACACACACGCACACGCACTTGAAGCCCCAAAATGCGGGAGATACTGAGAAAACATTCATTATATTATCATATCAAATGAATGATAGTCTGTCTACAAAACAAACAGAGAACGGCATTGGCATAACGTGTATAGTCTATTTATTATAAGATACAAATTAATTCATTTAGTTAACTGGCTATTTCTTTTTTTCTAAGAATTGCTGTAGTGTAATTCTGAGTATTGAGTATATTCTATAGGTTAAATAATACAACCAGGAAATAAATTCAGGAGCACCTCTTTAATCGTTAATGTTTTTCTAAAAAACGAAAAGGTCGTTTTTATTGATGCTTTTTGGTTTTTCTTTAGATTGCAAAACAATAAATATGGGACGTTTTTTCTGCCACACACTCTCTGACAGGTGAAAACGTGGTTCCAGAACCGGCGGATGAAGCACAAGAAGCAGCTGAGGAAGGTACAGGACGAGCGGAAGAGCCCCGGGGAGAGGTCTGCGGAGAACTCCAGCGAGAGCGAGGAGAGGAGCGCGGAGGAGCGCGCGCCGCAGCCGGACTACCTGCTGAACGAGGACGAGGACGATGTGGACATTGAGGAGGACATTTGCTCCCCGGACCATCTACTATAGTAGAGGTCGGTTTGTACCGGGCAACGCCACACTGTAAATCACTGTAGATAACACCGGCCGCTCCCTTTCATTTGATACGCGCGTTACCGTTTAACGGGGAACGGCTGCCTGCAACACAATGTTAATATGTATTTAAACCCAGAGGTGGGCCCATTGGTTTTTAGATTTTTATGAACATTTTCGTGTTGTGACGTCTGACAAAACGCGGAATATACCTATAATAATAATAATAATAATAATAATAATAATAATAATAATAATAATAATAATAATAATAATAATAATAATAATAATAATAATAATAGTAGTAAGCCTAATAATAATACTTATTAGTACTATTATTATTATTATTATTATTATTATTATTATTATTATTATTATTATTATTATTAATATTATTATTGTTATTGTTATTATTATTATTCTTTTTATTTTCAAACGTGTATGTGTGTGTAAAATGTCAAACCATGTCTTTTTTATTTTGGGACGCACACACAGGCTACAGATGATTATGAACGAGCCGCACGTGCCCCATCTTTTCGCACTTTTATCGCAAACAAAGTTGTCCAAGCTTCTCTTTTATAGCTATCATTTTGCTCTTCAATCAGACTACTTTTTATATTTAATTTTCCGTTACCATATTGTTGAACATTTTTTAAATCCATTTTTGGTCGATGACAATTCTGTGATTTATATTTGTGTGTAAATTGACATGTATATATATAGTATATAAATGATACATCGATTATCGGCTTGTGCTATACATTTTTGAAAGCTCATTTGTCTTTGTTGTATATACTGTATTGTTATACCTCAATTAGCAAGGAATCATGTGGAAAAGTCTCAAATTGAACCACATAAATATAAAATGAATGTAGCATTATTATTATTCCAGCCGCATGTAATAAGATACTTTTATATTCCTCCCTAAGATAAACCTCTGTGGTTCATTACCAGACGGAACACAAGTCCACTAACAAGGATATTTCTAATCAGACGATGCGGATATTTACGAATGAAATTCAGGAGAAAGCAGCAGTTTGTTTGGTTAAGTTGTTTCAGGTACACAGTTAAATGATCTTTAATATAGATCAGGGGAAACAAATGCCTTTCAGTGGTAAAAGCTTGAGGGTAGATGTGCAAAAAACGCATAAGAACAGTCAACATATTAAGATGTAAAAAGTATTATTTCTTTAGACTCATTTAAAAAAAGATTAGTCCAGCATAGAAAGGATATTTGGA